TGTAACATTAGGTGGGTTAGTTTAACATTAGTGCTGTGTGTGTAACATTAGGTGGGTTAGTTTAACATTAGTGCGGTGTGTGTAACATTAGGTGGGTTAGTTTAACATTAGTGCGGTGTGTGTAACATTAGGTGGGTTAGTTTAACATTAGTGCGGTGTGTGTAACATTAGGTGGGTTAGTTTAACATTAGTGCGGTGTGTGTAACATTAGGTGGGTTAGTTTAACATTAGTGCTGTGTGTGTAACATTAGGTGGGTTAGTTTAACATTAGTGCTGTGTGTGTAACATTAGGTGGGTTAGTTTAACATTAGTGCGGTGTGTGTAACATTAGGTGGGTTAGTTTAACATTAGTGCGGTGTGTGTAACATTAGGTGGGTTAGTTTAACATTAGTGCTGTGTGTGTAACATTAGGTGGGTTAGTTTAACATTAGTGCGGTGTGTGTAACATTAGGTGGGTTAGTTTAACATTAGTGCGGTGTGTGTAACATTAGGTGGGTTAGTTTAACATTAGTGCGGTGTGTGTAACATTAGGTGGGTTAGTTTAACATTAGTGCGGTGTGTGTAACATTAGGTGGGTTAGTTTAACATTAGTGCTGTGTGTGTAACATTAGGTGGGTTAGTTTAACATTAGTGCGGTGTGTGTAACATTAGGTGGGTTAGTTTAACATTAGTGCGGTGTGTGTAACATTAGGTGGGTTAGTTTAACATTAGTGCTGTGTGTGTAACATTAGGTGGGTTAGTTTAACATTAGTGCGGTGTGTGTAACATTAGGTGGGTTAGTTTAACATTAGTGCGGTGTGTGTAACATTAGGTGGGTTAGTTTAACATTAGTGCGGTGTGTGTAACATTAGGTGGGTTAGTTTAACATTAGTGCGGTGTGTGTAACATTAGGTGGGTTAGTTTAACATTAGTGCGGTGTGTGTAACATTAGGTGGGTTAGTTTAACATTAGTGCTGTGTGTGTAACATTAGGTGGGTTAGTTTAACATTAGTGCGGTGTGTGTAACATTAGGTGGGTTAGTTTAACATTAGTGCGGTGTGTGTAACATTAGGTGGGTTAGTTTAACATTAGTGCGGTGTGTGTAACATTAGGTGGGTTAGTTTAACATTAGTGCGGTGTGTGAAACATTAGGTGGGTTAGTTTAACATTAGTGCTGTGTGTGTAACATTAGGTGGGTTAGTTTAACATTAGTGCGGTGTGTGTAACATTAGGTGGGTTAGTTTAACATTAGTGCGGTGTGTGTAACATTAGGTGGGTTAGTTTAACATTAGTGCGGTGTGTGTAACATTAGGTGGGTTAGTTTAACATTAGTGCGGTGTGTGTAACATTAGGTGGGTTAGTTTAACATTAGTGCGGTGTGTGTAACATTAGGTGGGTTAGTTTAACATTAGTGCTGTGTGTGTAACATTAGGTGGGTTAGTTTAACATTAGTGCGGTGTGTGTAACATTAGGTGGGTTAGTTTAACATTAGTGCGGTGTGTGTAACATTAGGTGGGTTAGTTTAACATTAGTGCTGTGTGTGTAACATTAGGTGGGTTAGTTTAACATTAGTGCGGTGTGTGTAACATTAGGTGGGTTAGTTTAACATTAGTGCTGTGTGTGTCAGTGTTCAGGGGTGCAGTTGTACCTGCCGCTGCCGATAGAAGGGAACGCCACAGACTTGAGCTTCTTCTCATCCGCGAGAGCCAGGCAGTTCTTCACAGTCTTATCCAGCATCTCCTCACACTTATCCGAGCCCCAGCCGGGACTGTTACAGTGGATGACAAACTTAGCAGGAAGACCGAATCCCGAGGTCACGGCCGCTGAGGAGAGCCAAGATTCACAGACCATCAGATCAACTGATCAGTCACAATCTATACCGTTACAACATGCTCTGAATAAAAGAGGGAATTCATCAAAACACAGCTCTTCATAGCTGTAACAACTCAGATTTACTCAACCAGAAATTCATCAAACGTCTCCTTCCTTCCAGATGATTTCAGATGGTGGAAACTGAGCATAAATGTGTTCATCACTTCAGAAAGTTCATGGTTGAGTGAGTTATGGTTTATCTACAGCATCTGTGGCATATATGGATGACCTTGTAATTTATCCATTGACCTGTTTATTTATTTTGTTTAGGGAATATCTTCTACATGTGAGCCTGTTTGTTTTCTGTGAATGTGTTGTTCAGCAGAGTTCAGTGTAAACCGCAGTACCTCCTGCCACCTCCAGAGGGCCGTTCTTCTTGCGCAGCTCCAGAACCGCCTCTCCAAACTCCTTTCCCCCGATCTTCTCCAGAGCATTCCCTGCGAGAGACACGCCGGTGTGAGTCTGTGACCGGCACTCGTTTACAGCGGCGGTGTGAGTCTGTGACCGGCACTCGTTTACAGCGGCGGTGTGAGTCTCTGACCGGCACTCGTTTACAGCGGCGGTGTGAGTCTGTGACCGGCACTCGTTTACAGCGGCGGTGTGAGTCTGTGACCGGCACTCGTTTACAGCGGCGGAGTGAGTCTGTGACCGGCACTAGTTTACAGCGGCGGTGTGAGTCTCTGACCGGCACTCGTTTACAGCGGCGGTGTGAGTCTGTGACCGGCACTCGTTTACAGCGGCGGCGTGAGTCTCTGACCGGCACTCGTTTACAGCGGCGGTGTGAGTCTGTGACCGGCACTCGTTTACAGCGGCGGTGTGAGTCTCTGACCGGCACTCGTTTACAGCGGCGGAGTGAGTCTGTGACCGGCACTCGTTTACAGCGGCGGAGTGAGTCTCTGACCGGCACTCGTTTACAGCGGCGGTGTGAGTCTGTGACCGGCACTCGTTTACAGCGGCGGTGTGAGTCTCTGACCGGCACTCGTTTACAGCGGCGGAGTGAGTCTGTGACCGGCACTCGTTTACAGCGGCGGTGTGAGTCTGTGACCGGCACTCGTTTACAGCGGCGGAGTGAGTCTCTGACCGGCACTCGTTTACAGCGGCGGTGTGAGTCTCTGACCGGCACTCGTTTACAGCGGCGGAGTGAGTCTGTGACCGGCACTCGTTTACAGCGGCGGCGTGAGTCTGTGACCGGCACTCGTTTACAGCGGCGGCGTGAGTCTGTGACCGGCACTCGTTTACAGCGGCGGCGTGAGTCTGTGACCGGCACTCGTTTACAGCGGCGGTGTGAGTCTGTGACCGGCACTCGTTTACAGCGGCGGTGTGAGTCTCTGACCGGCACTCGTTTACAGCGGCGGAGTGAGTCTGTGACCGGCACTCGTTTACAGCGGCGGAGTGAGTCTCTGACCGGCACTCGTTTACAGCGGCGGTGTGAGTCTGTGACCGGCACTCGTTTACAGCGGCGGTGTGAGTCTCTGACCGGCACTCGTTTACAGCGGCGGAGTGAGTCTGTGACCGGCACTCGTTTACAGCGGCGGTGTGAGTCTCTGACCGGCACTCGTTTACAGCGGCGGCGTGAGTCTCTGACCGGCACTCGTTTACAGCGGCGGCGTGAGTCTGTGACCGGCACTCGTTTACAGCGGCGGTGTGAGTCTGTGACCGGCACTCGTTTACAGCGGCGGTGTGAGTCTCTGACCGGCACTCGTTTACAGCGGCGGAGTGAGTCTGTGACCGGCACTCGTTTACACCGGCGGTGTGAGTCTCTGACCGGCACTCGTTTACAGCGGCGGTGTGAGTCTGTGACCGGCACTCGTTTACAGCGGCGGAGTGAGTCTGTGACCGGCACTAGTTTACAGCGGCGGTGTGAGTCTCTGACCGGCACTCGTTTACAGCGGCGGAGTGAGTCTCTGACCGGCACTCGTTTACAGCGGCGGTGTGAGTCTGTGACCGGCACTCGTTTACAGCGGCGGAGTGAGTCTCTGACCGGCACTCGTTTACAGCGGCGGTGTGAGTCTCTGACCGGCACTCGTTTACAGCGGCGGAGTGAGTCTCTGACCGGCACTCGTTTACAGCGGCGGTGTGAGTCTCTGACCGGCACTCGTTTACAGCGGCGGAGTGAGTCTGTGACCGGCACTCGTTTACAGCGGCGGTGTGAGTCTGTGACCGGCACTCGTTTACAGCGGCGGCGTGAGTCTGTGACCGGCACTCGTTTACAGCGGCGGCGTGAGTCTGTGACCGGCACTCGTTTACAGCGGCGGCGTGAGTCTCTGACCGGCACTCGTTTACAGCGGCGGCGTGAGTCTGTGACCGGCACTCGTTTACAGCGGCGGAGTGAGTCTCTGACCGGCACTCGTTTACAGCGGCGGCGTGAGTCTGTGACCGGCACTCGTTTACAGCGGCGGTGTGAGTCTGTGACCGGCACTCGTTTACAGCGGCGGTGTGAGTCTCTGACCGGCACTCGTTTACAGCGGCGGAGTGAGTCTGTGACCGGCACTCGTTTACAGCGGCGGTGTGAGTCTCTGACCGGCACTCGTTTACAGCGGCGGAGTGAGTCTGTGACCGGCACTCGTTTACAGCGGCGGTGTGAGTCTCTGACCGGCACTCGTTTACAGCGGCGGAGTGAGTCTGTGACCGGCACTCGTTTACAGCGGCGGTGTGAGTCTCTGACCGGCACTCGTTTACAGCGGCGGAGTGAGTCTGTGACCGGCACTCGTTTACAGCGGCGGCGTGAGTCTGTGACCGGCACTCGTTTACAGCGGCGGCGTGAGTCTGTGACCGGCACTCGTTTACAGCGGCGGTGTGAGTCTCTGACCGGCACTCGTTTACAGCGGCGGAGTGAGTCTGTGACCGGCACTCGTTTACAGCGGCGGAGTGAGTCTGTGACCGGCACTCGTTTACAGCGGCGGTGTGAGTCTGTGACCGGCACTCGTTTACAGCGGCGGAGTGAGTCTGTGACCGGCACTCGTTTACAGCGGCGGTGTGAGTAGGCCTGTCGCGATAGTCGATAAATCAATTAATCGCACGATAAAAAAAATGAGCTCGATAATTTTTCCGGACACGATAATTTCCATTTGCATGCTTGTTTGTTTTCCTCGTGTCTCTCTCTCTCTACCAAAGAGACTGGATGACAACTCTCGGTTCCTTAGCTTGAACTAGAGCTTAGATTCTCTGCCCGAGCTCGAACTTGACCCGACCCGGCCCGACACTATCCTCGGGCCGGGTCCTTGATCTAGAGACGTGCACTCCCAACGCAATAGAGTGCGGCGCGGCTCTAGACTTGATGGCCAAGTGCGAGCGCGGGCGGTAACGCACTCACTCTGTGTGTGCGGTTTGCGGGAGAATAAAACGATTCGCGGGACTCCCGCAAACTAGAAATATCTATGAATAAAACATAAAAACTAATAGATTTTTATCTGTAGCAGAAAAGCAACAAGAACAAATAAAACAAAATAGAAACTATTTACAGGCCAGAGTTTCTATTTCTAACATGTCTGCAGCGTTGAGCGATGTAGCCAATCACAGACACGTGTTGATTTCTTGAACGCAATGGCCAATCAGAAGCATTTAAGGGTCCTTTCACACCTGGATCAATTGGAGACGTTGTTCCGAAACAAAGGGCTGTTTCCCTTTTGGCCCGGTTCGTTTGGTCATATGTGAACACAACAATCACACTCTGAATCGGAACAAAACAACCGAGCCGAGACCGACTAGAAGAGGTGGTCTCGGCTCGATTCAAGACGAACCCTGGAGCGGTTCGTTTGTAGTGAGAACACAACCGACCCACGAACCGGAACAAATCAATGTCGGAGTTTTTTCGCCTTTGCGCGGCACTGCTCGACGGACCGTTCATAACCCCTCTCTTTAATTTTATAGCTGATCTTCTTGTACACTTCGGTGTTCTTGTGTGTAGTGTCCAACAATCCGGGAGATGTGTTCTTCCGACCAGGGAGAAAAAAAATGAAAAAAATGAAATGTCCGCCAAAATTAAATCTCTCCGGTCAAATTGTCCGATTAAAATTGCGTAATAATCTCGCCCCCCTAACACAATATGAATTTGAGAATAAGCCTAAAATGTATAAAGCAAAAATACACCGACCTTTGGCTATGTTTTGGAACAGGCTCTACCGTTAGAAAGTTATTAAACAACATCGCATGCTGCATTTCAAATAAAGCGCACGCCGCTGTAATATAGACCTAAACAACAAACGATTGAGTGAGACGTTTCAAATATGGCCAGGTCCATTGATATTATTGATAAAGTTGATAAATTGATAAAGTCGACGATGCAGACTCGCCATCTTCGCAGTAGTGAACGCGCCTATAGAGAGAAGTGTGCACGCGCCGACGCCTCCGTGTCCTGATTAGCCTATTAGCCTATATTGTCCACTATATTTGCTTCTTATTTATTAATCCAGTCAAATTTGTTGATGAAACATTGATTAAAATTAATATACAATTTATACAAAACGAAATTTTCAAGCAAAAATAATATTCGAAGATCGCTGGGTTGATTATTATTCGAAAATCGCACCCCTCCACCACATGCACGCACACATGCATTAGGCTACACCCCAGAGCATGTGAGCAAAGCAGAGCGGTGTGACGCTTATTATAAGTAAAAATAAATAAATATAAGTTTCATATTTATAAAAAATATAATGTTATTATTTTTTTATTTCATCTATGTTGATTAGGCTATATGAAAAGGGAACCGCATGAAATGAGTAAGATAGGATCATAAGATGACCAATAGGCCTATATATCGGAAAACATTTGGAATTGGTCAGACATGATTTTGACCAGTTATTTAGTTTTGTTTTGTAGAAAGCCTTTCTTTAAAGTTTATTTCGTTTTGTATAAATTGTATCTTCATTTGAATCAATGTTTCATCAACAAATTTGCCTGGATTAATAAATTAATAAATATGAAGTGTGCATTTCTCTCTCTAGGCGCGTTCACTACTGCGAAGATGTCGAGTCTGCATCGTCAACTTTATCAATTTATCAGCAATTTAAATGTTTCATGCATAATCATTACTTTAGCCGGTTCTTTGTGGCAAGCTTTATTTCAGGTGTTGCGTGATATCTCTGCGCCCAAGTAGCAGTGCTTCGCCTGTGCAGAGTCTCCGCAACGGCGATAGATAGAAACGCGCGTCCGAGTGAAGATTGCGCAACTCGCGCAGCGCGTCATCCATGCAACTGATAGCAGCGGACACGAGCGCTCAGCTTGATTTAAAAAACAACTGATTTTAGCGCTAGATCTCTTATTTAATAGCGAACTAAATGAATGAGTTAACTGGAGATTTTTTATTTATTTGTGTTAGGTACATCCGTGCCTCAATGTTTCAAAAAGTGAATGTGTGTGAAACCATAGTAAAAAACAATTGGTGTTGATTGACGCCAATCAGACGTTCATGGTTTTTTCCGTCTATTTGAAAGTT